CTAGATCCTCAGTAGCCTAAGAGACCACTTTCTTCTCCAAAGCATATATACACGGCAGTATATACACTCCCTATGGCAGCTGAAAGTTATACCTGATCCGTATCATTTCAAATAACTGAGCTGCAAAAACTAAAGCTGAAAACAGGCAAGCAAAACCCACACATCTTTGTGCTAAAGCATGACTGTTTAGGCTGTAACAACTATTCAGTATCTGTTATCTCTACATTTTTTATTAGCTCATGCTTACTTTGGCTGCACATCCAAGCAGTCATTTAACCAGGGTGAGAGAGGAAAATCTTGGACTCTCAACAATGGCAAGGCAGTTTAATCTGCCACTGGGGACAATGACTTGCCTCCTATTGGCATTTTGTGCTGGCAGGGTCAAGCGCAACGTGCGGTGGAGGAAGCACTCGGGAAGCAGAGCCGCAGCAGTTCCACCAGCCCTGAGTATTTCCTTGAGCAGCTCAGAGCTCCCTTTCCCTTGTGCGCAGGGAGAACAACTCCAGCTGTTTAGTCACCTGTACTGACATCTCCACTCACTGAATTTATGAGTTTTCGGGCTTCTAGGAGCTCCGGGTTGGACATAGCACATTCCTCCAGCCTACGGTTTTGACGTTCAAAACTAAGTTAGGAAGATTGAAGCAGTGAAGATCTTGTCCTTGGCATGAGCTCGGGTCCTGGAAGCCGACTTGTGTTGAACAGAACTGGCCCTGGGCAGCTTGGGCACAAGCATTAAAACAAGCTTTTGTCCAGCAATGACTCCAGGCAGAAGGGTCCAAAATTTATTTATTTATTCATGGTGCTGATTTAACAAGAATTAATTTTTGTATAGAAGCTCAAAACACTTTACAATAAAAGAACAATCCAACTTGCACCCTTGGGTCAATCTACAGTGATATATGCAGAGGCAGATCAGAAGTGGTGCAAGTTAACATTAACAGCCAGATGACCAGAGACAAAGTCAAATTGAGATTGTACTAAGGACGAGAATAGAAATTTCAGGACCTTAATCCCATGGCTATTTGTATCCCAGGCTAACACATTCCTAAATAACTCCCAGTTAAGAATTTTAAGATTATTAGCCTACTTTTGATAGCCATGTCTTTTTGGTTCCCCTTAGAGCAATATCATCGTCTTAGAGGGCTCCTATTGAGTAAAGGCAGAATCATTTGCTAAAACTGTTCTCCGTTTAGCAGACATCAACAGACACAAAGTGAGTCACCGAGCAGAGGCAACTCTGCAAGATGAAATACAGGAAGGTGGAAGCTGTGGGGCATTCTTCAGCTTCCCTTTTCCTTTCGCAATCAGCCCCTTGATATTTTCTTCAACAGGAAAACCAGCACTCCCCACTCCTTGCAAACTGCTGACAATTCTGTTTCACACCTGGCAAAGCCAATGCAAAACGGAAGGAAGAGGAGAAACAAAGACCAAGAACTTTTCTCAGGAGCGACACCTCCCCAGAACGCAGCATTTTTTCCCTCCCAGCTGTAGCTAAAGATATTCCACTCCTTGATGGATCAAATCTAACAGCTACACATCGGTCACGGTGGGAAATGCCACGTGCTGTGTCTGGAGGACCCTGGACTGAATACCCTGCAGCAGCTTCACAGAGGACACTCAGAGCTCTCGAACCTGGTAATGGACAACAAGAGCTCCCAAAAGCAGCAGAGCACGAGCAGCCGAACCCCTTGGCTTGGGAATTCTCAATCTAAAATGTCCTGTCCTTTAAAAGTAATTCCAACTGCTAAAACCCTTGCTAACAATCTAAGGACTAAATAATTCTGGTAAGAGTTTTCCTCTGTATCCCCTAACAATTGGGATTGCCCCTTTCCTGGATGCAGCTGGTGGCTATTGTTATAGCTGCCTTTTTTCCCTTCTTTTGTTTTTATGCAAGTGTTCTGACAATATCAGACAAAGCATTTTCAGTTTCTCTCTGTTTTTTTCCCACTTTGAAGCTCAAAATAGCACTTACACAGGCAGAAATAGCCCAAGGACCACCAGGAAGGAGAGGCAGCAGCCAACATACTAGATGAGAACAGCAGGCAAGAGAACAGCAAGTGCCACCGGCACCTTTATGCCAGCCTGAGCTAGATGCTCCATTGAAGACACTGGCATCCAGGGATGCTGAATCCCGGGGAGGAACCGTTTCCTTACCGGAGCAATCGTGCAGGAAGTTCAGGAACCCACCTGCAGAGAAGTTCTTCCTCACTCATCAGTCACGCATTTAAGGCCTAGCAGCTTCCAGACAGAAGTGCCCCTTGAGCAGCACTGAGGTAAAGCTACATAATATTTTAATATTCATTTGAAATCTTCTGGCCCATAGAAGTCACCTATAGCCACATGAAGACCATATCCTACAGAAGAAGGATGTGTGAGCAGGGCAGATGCAACAACACGGACCAGAGAAGATCCCTGCCCTTCTCCCCGTGCCAGCCTCAGGGTGCCGAGCCACCCAGGTGCTGGCCACGTCCTGTGTCACCTCGGCCGCCTCGGAGCCGCTGCTAAAGCGCAGGGTAAACAGGAAGCAGAGCCGAGAGCGAACCCTGCGCGGGGAAGGGCAGCGACCCACCGTCCTCCCGGAGGCCGAGGAACCAGCCCGGTCCCCGGCACACGGCCGCTTCCCAGCTCATCGGAACGCAAGGGAGACGCCACGTTCGGGAGGGGACAAACTCTCCTCAAGGAAAGGCACCTCGAAAGCATCCAGCACGTTCCGAGCGATACCCCAGAGCATGAGGACCAAGGGACTTCCCACAGGGTTTCCTGGAAGGGATTTGGTGTAGTCCCAAACCCACCTTGCCTTTAGTACGTGCCCACCATGCTGTAACATAAAAGTTTAAGGTGTTCATGGAGCTCTGGTCCAAATCATACGTTTTGCTGTGGAGCATCCACTTGCGGGCACGCAGTTACTAACCACATTGCCTGTGTTTTTGTCTATTAACACTATACCAGCCTCACAAGTATTCAGTATTACAGCCCCAACTGGGTAAGAATTAAACTAATGCCAGCAGCTCTGTATCTATTTCAAGAAAAGTTACAGCAGAAGCTGCAGAGAAAGAGGCAACCACGTGGTCTTCATCCTATAAAAAGGAATAAATGACACAAAAAATAAGACAGAAGAAATGGCAGATTTCCCCTTTCCTGCCATATGCCTGATAGCCTGTCTTTGTCATCCCTTGACAAAACAAATTAGGGAAATGAGGCAGCCACAACCTCTCTGCAAACAACAGAAGAAAAAAATAGTTGAGTCAAGAACATATTTAAAAATATCAGACGCTTCAGAGGAAATATCCAAGAAAAGGCTTCTCAAAAGTGAACAGTAACAGAATATTTGATAACCACACATCAGCAGCAGCTGGAAAAGCCAAAGGCTTCTCGAGTTTGGCCGGGCAGCCCGAGATGCACCTGGACCCGCAGCTCCTCCCTGGCCACCGGCTCTCCAGGCCTTTGGCCCTGTCCAGGCCTTCCTGATGCTCCTACAAGAGGTTTTCCAGCCTGGCAATATCTCTTTATGGCTTTTAAGACAGGGAGACAACAATCAGATTAAATCTGAACTTCACTCGGTATCAAAGCACAGTGAGGACAGATCCCATCCCAGCTCTCCACTTTCCACAAGCGCAGAGTAACTCCTCTTAACAGGCTTCGGCTGGGATAACCATGGTGCATATAGAGCATTTCCAGGAGCTTTCATGGAAGGGGGAAGTGAGTAATAGAACCACACGCACAAAGGGAAAGAAAGAAAAAATCCCTAGAAAAATAAGAACCAAGAAAGAAGCATAACAAAACAGAAGCACAATAAAAAAAAAAAAAAACCTATATAACAACGCAAAATTAAACGGCGTTCAGTGAAGCACATTCTGAAGGGCTGCTCGGTTAGTTTGCAAAGGAGATTCCAGCTGGGAGCTGAACTCATCCTCCAACAACAACAAAGGAGGCGCCGGGCAGCCCCGACCCGCGCCCGCCCGGGCGCTCCCGG